GTCTTTCACAAATTGCCGTCTCTACAAAGCTAGTTCTTCTTAGCTATCTTACACCTCTCTTTCTTTTGCGCGATGCAAATACATGTAAAGAATGCTAGATGCCTTGCATGCAATTAAAATATGTACGCACAGTAAAAGGTTAAACACAGTGAGAGCAATGTTGCAAAAAAGGGCAAAAAAGCATCTTCTATCCGAAGATAGAAGACGACGTCTAACCATTGCTGATTTTTCGTTTCTGGACATTGTTGTCTGTTGTATCCTTCAAGGGTCCACATGTTCCTAAAGGCAGACTGGGGAATCGAACAAGGTGCCTTGAGTGAGTTGGGTCTGGACCGATTAACCATTCGGAAGCCGTTAATATTGTGGTTGCGGGCTCCTGTCTTTGGTCGTTCCTCTCGAACTTCAGCCAAGGCGGCTTGTTGATGGAAGATTGGGGATTTAAGTGCTATATATTGGGGGAGATGGTGTGGAGTGTGGGGTGGGACCTGAGGTGGAGTGAAGGTGGGTTTGAAGGCGAGCGCGTGGGTGCCTGGTGAGAGCGCTGCGTGCGCGGGCGTGCGCGTTTGCATTTTGGGTGTTTGTTGTGCGATGGCGGAGGGTCGGGGCGCCGGTGGGAAGCGAGAGTGATGGTGGTGAGAGTGATGACGAGCTTGGGGCAGACGCTCGCACTGCTCGATGGCCGTTTTCCAGAGCGAAGGTCTATCACTACTGCGGAGTCTCGAGCAAAGGGCGGAGGCTACTTCGTGTATCCCGAAAGTAATGGCAATGCGTAGCTACTGCGGAGGTACTAAGCGTTAGCTATGAGGCCTTTGACGAGTATGAAATCACTTGTGGCGCGACTCCGACCTGTGATGACCTTCTACACTCGAGCCACAACTTGAAGCCGATGAGTTCGCATAATGAAGCAGCAGGACTAGATGACCAAGCGCACATGTATGATGATAATGAGGATCAAGGTAAGAAATGGAACGATGAGTGAGACCAGTGTTCGTTGAAGTGATGATAACAATGATCAAGATCACCAGTTGCGCAATGTGAAAGAAGAGTACTACGAATTCACCAAAAAAGAGAAATGAAATATATCTTACATGACGCATTCCAGGTCTCAAGTCTACGGCATGCATGGCTAAAAGGTCATCCTCTCATTTGGTGGTTTGTCCCCGCTCTTGCATTTCCTGCATCTTCCGCTGTGTCTCCAACTCAAACGCTTGCTTTTTCAATACATCAATCTTATCGTCAATTACAGCGATCTGCGCCTCGACCCGGAGAAGCTTTTCTTGCATCATGTTCTCGTAGTCGTCGTCGGTCAAGACTTGCATAGGACTCCACTTGCTCTTTGCTATCTTTTGCATAAAGTTCTCCTTGGGCTTGGCTTCACCTCTCGCTCGTTCCTGGATTTCGCTGGAGTTTTTGGCGTCGAGGTAATTGTACCCATGTTGTCCTGCCCAGCCGAACAGAGTGAACATGATGGTACCTGGAATGACATTTCGAGGGCCGCGAAAGAGGAGGCCGAGGTTGAATCCAGTCAGTCCACCAGCAAGGGCTGACGCGCGAACCTTGTCAGACGTGGTTGGGTTGAGGTCGGTGCGAGGATAGACGGGTGCCCCACGAGTGAGGTTCCACCAGTTGAGTAAGCCAGCGTGGTTGAGGACTGACGTGCGGATGCCCCAGAACGTGCTGCCAATGGCGAACCATTGCGCTCCTGACACAATGGAGAAGAGAACCGGAGTTTGCGTGCGGATAGTACCGTAGAAGGCACCAATCACAGTACCGGGTACGGCTGAAACAGGTTAGGCAAAATTCATGAGGTGAGAAAAAGCTGACAAGACGACGATTATGCAGGAGTGAAATGGAAGCGCACGACTACAACGAAGCGAGACTACGTAGGGTGGTGAAAAGACCATGTGCGTACCTGAGGCTCCGCCAATATAGAGTGCTTGCCGGGCAACCTCGAGGGGCTGCGTGACCTGGTCTGGGTCATGTTTGGCTTTCATCGCTCTTTCATGGGGGCGATCCAGGGCTGAAGGTCGTGGACCAGATTCGGGTAATGACAATGCAAGGTTCGCCGCCGTTGGAAAAGCAAAGGCGCTGACTAAGCGAGGCCCAACGAACGCACAGCCTGAGCTTAAGATTTCCGTTCGGGAAAGTCTCAAGAACTCACCCCACACACGCTTCAACCACAGACCCCGCAACCACCAAGACCACACCCGAGAGCAAGAGACCGCTCTCCAGACCCGAATCAGACAGCGCGCCGAATCCACTCGCGCACAGTCTGCCAAACCGCAATCATGGGTACGTCGCCGTGGTGCGCACGCAAATTGCAGGCGTCACTCGAGCCGGCTTTTTTGCCCCGCTCTGTACCGCGCCCAAAACAAGAAGCCATGGCTGACGATGTGTTGTAGCGCCCAAGAAGAAGCAACAGACCATGGGCCTGGGAGAATTCCTGAATGACCAATGTACGCCCCGCCTACCTGCCCCCGAGCGCGCAGTCGACTGACATGTAGCAGCGCTAGGATCATGGGCCGACGAAATGGAGGATGCGCCAATGCCTGGTGAGTGACACGCATTCTGCTTAGGGAGTGGCCCGGTGTACTAACGTTTGCAGGAGCCGGTAATACACCCCACCAACTGTCGCAGCGCGAACATGCCCATGACGGAAGACTGACACATTTTTAGGTGCCGGTAGAAGCTCTGGCTATGGCGGCGACAGGCCGACCTTTGGCTCTGGCGGCGGCAGCGGCTTCGGTGCTGACCGCGCTGGCAGCTACGGTGAGGAGAGCACACTTACACGCATTCGCATATACTAACAACTCCCCAGCCGACCGTGGATTCGCAACTCGCGAGGCGCTCCCCATGCCCTCCAAGCCCCCGTACACCGCCCACCTGGGCAACCTCTCCTTCGATGCCACCGAGGGCGACGTGACCGACTTCTTCGCCGACTGCGAGGTGACCAACGTGCGCATCGTCGAGGACAAACTGGACCGAAAGCCCAAGGGTTTCGGCTACGTCGAATTTGGCAGCGTTGATGGACTGAAGAAGGCGCTCGACCTGTCTGGCACATCTTTCCAGGGCAGGAATATCCGTGTCAGCGTCGCTGAACCCCGTACGTCAAATGTCTACAGGATGCACCCAAATAACTACTGACAAGTCACAGCCAAGGACCGCGAAGAAGCCCGCGTCATCACAGACTGGACCCGGAAGGGACCCCTCCCTGATCTACCTGGCCAGCGCAGCAGCTCCGGACGCGGCGGCTTCGGCTCGGGCCGTGACCGCGCTTTCGACGCAGGATCTGACGCCGGCAGCGAGCGTGGTGAGCGTCGCCGCCCACCTCCATTCGAGAGCGACGGAAAGCCCCGCGACTTTGGCAACTGGGAGCGCCGAGGACCTCTTTCTCCATCCGCTGCACCTCCTCCCAGCGAGGGCGGCCGCACCCGGGGTGGCTTCGAAGGAGGTCCCCGCGAGGGCCGCCGACAGTCCCCCGCCTGGGGCGAGGGTCAAGGCACCGAGGGCTCTCGTGGACCCCGCCGTGAGTTCCAGGAGCGACCGCAATTTGAGAGGCAGCCTACTGCGGCAGACAATGACAACCAATGGCGATCCAAGATGCGCCCCGATGCGCCTATCAAGTCGCCTACATCCACACCCGACGCTAGCACTCCATCATCACCGGCACCGCAGGCCGCTGCACCCGCTGGCCGCCCTCGCTTGAACCTGGCCAAGCGAACCGTCTCCGAGGCTCAACCAGCTCAAGACGCGTCCACTCCTTCAGACAAGCCCAACCCATTCGGTGCCGCCCGCCCCATCGACACTGCTGCTCGTGAGAAAGAGATCGAGGAGAAGAGGCAACTTGCATTGCGCCAGAAGAAGGAAGCCGATGACAAGGCGCGCGAGGAGAAGAAGGCCAAGGAAGCCGCGGAGAAGCCAGCGCCCAAGGACTCAGCACAGCCAACGCCGACAAAGAAGGAGGAGAACGATAGCGAGGAGAAGCCCAAGTCTAACTTCGAGATCCTCCAACGGGTGGATGAGGGCAACTCTGCCGGCCAGGATGAGGACGCCGAGGGAGAGATTGTACACGACAAGGACGTCAAGCCGCAAGAAGTCACTCGCGACCCACCGAAGGCTGAACAAGGCTCATGGAGGCGGAAGTCCAGCACAGCTGCGGCCCCTGAAGGCACTACTACCGAGGTTATGGACGACGATGGCTGGAGCACCGTCACCAAGCCCACCAAGAACGTTAAGAACAACCGCCGAGGAGGCGGAGGTGCCCCGGCCCGCGCCATCGCGTCTTAGGTGGACGTATCAATATTGAGACTAGCCCCGATGCTGTATCTGGGATGAACGCAACGCATATCCGACGGCGTGGTGGCGTCCTTTGTGTTTCTGGCTTTGCTGTTTATCACAGCTGTTTTTGTTCGGCGGTTTTCCCATATTGTTGCATCACTGCACAATCATCGTCCTTTCGACAGCCCTGTTCATCCGAGCGCGATTTGCAAGGCGTCCGTGGCTGGACTTGGGACGTTTTACGAGCTTCTTTCTGCATGCCCCTTGACGATGCCGTTCCTTGGCGCTGCTCGTTTCCAAAAAGTATTGGTCGCCCTCCTAGACCTTCCACATCCGGTAAATATAGGATATGCCATATTTTCGATCATCTCCTCTCGCCATCAGTGTCTGTTGTTGTGGCCCAGCCAAGCTCTCTTTGATGGATCTGTGTTAGGGGGTTAGAGGGATGGTATGCACTGGCATGTATTTAGCTGCAACAAGAATTTCGAAAGTATCTACACTCCAATGTTTGACGCACGTTTGCAGTAATGCAGTTCATCACTGTGATGTGTATGTGGAGTTCGTATGAGGGTCTGACAGGGGTGGGTCGTTGTCAAGGGTTCAAGGGTTCAAGCATGCAGACCATGGTTCGCTCTGGGGCTATGAAATCTGTTCTTTGGTCGTCATCTTTCCCTGTCATAACTACAATATTCGGAGTTGGAAAACAAAACATCATCCACACTATGTCTGGCACTATTGTCATCGAGAAGATTCAGGGCCATGATGTCTCGGAAGACATGCTCGCTCAAGCCGCAGAGCTCTTTTCCTCTGACTACGGAATCTGGGGTCCTCTTGCTGAAGAGAAAATGGGCACATTTGGTAAATTCTGCAAGCCGGGTATGTACGTTATTTTCTCTCTCTAATGGATGCAATGCTAATGCCCTTGTAGGACGCCCCGTGAAGATGTCCAAAAACCGTCTTCGTGAGCAGTCCCTTGCTCCGGGAACTGACAGCGTTCTGATACGCGCTACGGTCGACGGCAAACTTGTAGGCCATGCCTTTGCAACTTTCTGGGAGTACGAAGGTCACAAAATTGGGTGGATTACACAGCTATGCATCGGTCGGGATTTCAGGCGCAACGGGCTGGCTATAAAGGTTTGTCTTCACACAACTCATTGACCTTAGCCAGCATTCACTGAACCTTGCAGATCTTATTATATTTGCGCGAAAACAAGCACGACCACAGTTTCGGAATCCTCTCATCCCATCCTGCTACTATTCGTGCTGCTCTGCGAGCCTTCGGACATGGTATCGAAAAGGTGGACTTGAGCGGGATTAAAGAGCTTGTACCCGCCATTATGAAGTCCTCGCCAGTTCCTTACGTCAAGATGGCTAGACCTACGGGCTCCTTGTTTGATCAGGGTGATCAGACAGGTGCTGTTTGCTGTGCTGACACTGCATTCTGGGTTGATCATGCCGAGCCCCTGGCTGCGCTGAATGTCATCAAGGAGGACGGTATAAAGTGGCCGTTTGGAGACTTGCCTGAAGGCTGCGAATTCTTGGCCTTTGTTAGTAGATCTTCTGTTACATGATGCTGCAATTTACAACAACACACGATGCAGAAGACCAGATGGACGTCAAGGTAATGTAGGCTTCTGGATTGTCGATACAGTAGCATACTGCTTCGATTGCGCCCGTTGTAGCAGGCTAGAAGGAAGAAAACCGCTAAAAATGTCTGGTCCTTTCCCTTGCATGTGGTGCAGCGATGCTAACGTCTAGTCGATCGCCGTTGACGTGCCGCGAACAGGGTTCACGACGCAGGATCCCGGTACGTGCGCCACAATACGTCAGATGTGCTCGGCCTGTGTCCAACTTCGATATCTTGCTTTGGCGGCGATCGCCTACGCTATCACTTTCCTTTTCGTGTCTTGCGATGCATATAGTGTTTCATTCCAATTAGTTGAGCTAGGAAATCGACACGTTCATGGGTGTTGCCCCAATTCATCATCATCATACAAGCCAAGCGGAAGCGTACCATAGACACGACGCGCGTTGTTAGGGGTTTGGCACATATCATTTCTGGGCTCAAATAGAGGGGACATCTTCACACAATGGCGTCGAAGCCATCATCACCGGGACCCAATGCGACACCTGCAACGCCAGCCAAGCAGGCACGATCCAGGAAGGCCGCTACTCCAAGCCAGACTGAACAGGGAAGAGCAGGGTCCGCGGGCGGAGTCGTCCTGCCAAAAGAGCCCGCTACAAAGGCTTCAGCATCGTCAGCAAAGAAGGCTGCGGCAACACCAAGCACAGATGACGTTACCGCCCCGGCAGCGAAGACACCGAAAAAGAAACCCAGGAAGCTGAACAAGGAGCCGACATCAACATCTACAGATGCAGCAAAGCCTACGACCACAAGTAAAACATCAGCAGATGTACCGTCGCCCTCCGAGCTCGAAGCGCTCAAGTCTCGTGTCAGAGGCTTGGAAGCCAAGGTAGAAGAGCTCTACAAAGCCGGTGCGATTCCCGACTCACGACCTGGCCGCTCCCCTCGCCGACGAGGAAAAGGGCGAAAAGTCTCGTCTACAGCGCAGGTCCCCACACTTAGTACTACAGCCAATGAAAGCGATCCTCGGGTCCAGGAAATCGCCGACGACGAAGAGGAGGAAGCAGATGAAGAACTCGTGCGTCTCGAGGGCGAATTGGAGGTGGCACGACAGGATCTGGAACACTTCAATCCTCGCAGCAAAGGCGCCACAAGTCGAGGAACAGATCATGTCGAAGAGATCGACAGGGACGCATCCGGAGCAAGAGCAGGTACAGACAGACAAGTCACCCTATCAGGAAGCTACCGCATCCCCATCCCCGCCAACGTCAACCTCGAAGACGTAAAAACGATCAAATCAGGCGTCTCCGCCGCCCAAAACGTAGCGCGATCTTTCCTCGAACAACGACGCGCTGCCGCTGCTGTACGCGCTACCGAGAACAACGCTTCTTCACCACAACAGCAGTCCAGCAGCAGAACCACCAAAGTCCCCGCTTCGAAATCTTCCTCTGCAACAACACCAAAGCCAAAGAGAAGCATGAGCTCGACAATGGAAGTTGCCGTTGATAACAGCGATGGAAAGCAGAGCTGGAGCGAGTGGATTGGCGGATACAGTATGGCGATTACGAGGGCGGTCAGTAAGATTGAACACGAGGCTGCTGTTGAGGCGCAGAGGGGCGGTGGAAGTGCGAGTGCTAGTAGGCCTTCGGCGAGTGGAAGGAGGACGAGTGCGCCTACGTCTAAGAAAGCGGCGGGGAAGAGACCTGCTGCAAAGGCTACTTTGAGCGGGGAGCAAGTTCATGGACTGATGAGTTAGACCCTGGGGTAGATATCTTGTACGAGAGAGAGGTTTGAAGATTAGGTGCGGGTGTTTTGGTAGCATTGGAAAGCATAGGTGCAGTCGGAAGCAGTACCGCAAGCACGAAGAGTTCGTTCGATATGAGCACGGTTACACTGCGATACGGTACCCATTACCCTGATTCTTCATTTCTTTAGCACTCCCTCAGTTCACTTCTGAGCCCCTCCCTCTGCTTCTGCTGCCGCCTGTCCCACGTGCTCGTTCTCATTCTCATTCGGAACGGGTGCAGCGCCCTGATCACCATCGTCCACAGGCTCTCGTTGCGCATCATCGGCGGGAGGAGCTTCTTCTCTCGGTACCTGTATTGGCGGATCCCCAGCAGCGGCGGGGTTAGCTGGGGGAGCATCTGCTGCTGGTGCAGCAGGAGCTTCTTCCGGCACCGGGTCCAAGGGTGCCTCTCTTTGTGTCTCGCCACCTGCGGCAGCAGATCTATGGGAAGTCGAGGAATGACTGCTGTGACTCTTTGTGCTACTCCTTGAGGAAGAGGATGAGCTAGACGAGTGAGACCTGCTCGACTTCACACTCTCTGCCTTCGCTTTCGTGGCAGGCTTGCTTGCTTCGGCTGCGACTGCGACTGTGACTGCCACATGTCGCGGAACCTCAGAACTGCTACTGCTATATCCCGTACTTTTCCTTGATCCATACTCGGTGCCCGCTTCTAGCCCGTGGAGAGCCATTCCAAGCACCCCACCCATTCTCCTTTTGGGCTTCTGACTTTTCCAGCTAGCAGTTGTAATCGGGTTACCCTTCCCGCCTGCGAGCCAGAAGAGCGTAGACGGAACACGCTGATGATCTCGTAGAGCGGAAGGTGAGCCAGCGCCGCCTCTAAGGCTGACCGTCGGAGGGAGTGTAGCTGGTTGTATGACGTGACTCGTGGAGACGGCGGGAGTATCGATAGAAGGGCCTGTGAGGCGAGCGAAGATCGAGGCGAGACCGAACAATGGTAGATAGGAGAAGATCGATCGTGGCTGCGGGTACGTAGCTGCAAAACTTGCTGTGCGCGAGGTTGATATATTATTGGTAACGTCTCCGCCGCCAGACGTGGATCTGCCCGTTCGTGGTGTCTCTTGACTTCCATCGCGTCTCGAGATACCTTTCGGAAGGCGAGATGTACCGTATGCCCTCCTCAACGCGCGTGCAACTTCGGCGATGTTGGGAGTCCTCGCTGGTGGCAAGTGTTCGTCGCTACCCGAGTCGGTGTCATCACCATGACCAGGCCTGTGACAAGTAAGTAGCAGTTGCTTCATCGTCAAACCACAGCTACGAGTATGAATGTTTTCGTCGCCTCCACTACCACCTCGCAATCTTGGCATTCCATCGTAAGCAGGACCCTCTTGAAAATCCGGTAGCTGGTCGTTTGTCTTAAAGTCATCTTCAGAGTCTCTATGTCTCATGCGACGGCGACTATCAGCTGACCGTCTCGACGCCCGCGATTGCCGCCCTGATTGCTCTGGGGAGCGTCTAGGATAGACACTACTATGGTACAATTGTGCATCGATACTGGCTTGCTGCTCAGGACGCGGTCGTTCAACAACAACATGTCCACCGGTTTCGAGGTAGCCCTCCACAACTAGGTTGCTGCGCGAAGGTTGCGACGCTTGACGTTGCTCTGCACTGTTAGTGAAGGCGGCTGAAAATTTCTGGCCATAGAAAACCGTCTCGGAGAAGTCTGTAGTCGGATCCGAAGTTTTCTTGCGACGGGCAGCACGGGCGAAATCGATTAGCGGACTTGGGGCTCCGGCACGTATGGCATCCAGGTGCTGCGATACTTCACTTTCGCGCACGTATGGGTAATCCTTTGAGTTGCGTAAGTAACGATGATAATGTAGTTTGGGACTGATTGGCCTCACTTCGTTATACTCCAGAGCGCTTCTCGATCGCGGGGGAATGTCTTCACTCCTGGTAGCACTTCTCTGCCGCAGCGCTGGATTGATAGCACCAGGTCGCGGCACAGGCAGTGCTGCTCTCCGTGGTGGGTTGCCTATCCTTTTCGCCGCGATTTCGGGAGGGACTAAACGCGGACATTCTTCGGATGAAGGACTGTGCTGTGGACGAGAGCTCTGAACTGCTGGTTCCTCATTGATCTTACGACCTGGCTTCCATGTGAAAGCTGATTTCATGTGGGAAAGTGCGCTTTGGGACTGACATTCATTGCATGGTTCGCCAGAGGGTGACTTCGGTGGCCGCATGCCACAGAAATCGCAGCGTCGGCGTTCCACGCTAGGGAAGGAATGGTATTCACTCGCATCATAAGGACAGGGCTGGCTGGTTTCGGACAGCGATGGTACCTGTAGTCGAATGACTGGAGGGGGTTGAGGAGCCTGCTGGTTAGCGCCAGCAACGCCTCGTTGTATTATGACCTCTTCTCCGAGTTCCGTGCATGATCGTAGAGTTGAACTGATATGCGGGCTTGATCTTCGTATGGGAAGGGCTGCTAATATAGTATTGAAGCTGGAAGAAATGCGTCGCTTGAGGGTCCTTGGCCGCTCGGGTGGGACTATCGGTGAGTCTGGTTCAGAGGTGGGCTTCGCTGGGTTCGGCATTTTCTGTAAATTGAGGCTATGATTATGGGAGATCTGAATAGCGAAGCGCAGGTTAAGAGCAAGCGAAGGTGTGATTTGAGAGCTTTCGTTACTTCCAAATGGCTCGAACGTCAAGATCGGTAGTCTGTGAAAGCCCTAATCTGGACCATAAGTTGGGCACCTTATGAATGGTAGAGCATTTGTGAATATTGACAGCAGCCATGACGTGGTGGAAAGAGGAACGTCTGCGAACGGTCTATTGGTGAACACAGCGGCAAACGTTAACAGGAGGACAACGCTTGAATACCAGCAACCGTAGTCTATACAAGATGTCGCACTCTCATATCTGATGAGATCGTGGCCGTGAAATGCTCCAGCTTGGTACGCGAGGGTAGCATTGCTTCCGGCTGCGACCAACGACATACTGCCTACCCACAGCCGTTGACAACACTCTCGGTCTTAGTACCTTGAGAGGCGTCCCTCTTCAGGCCAGTCGTACATGTCTCGTAGGTGGTTTCGATCAGATGCGCGTTCTTGCCTCCAGCCATCGTCATCGTCGTTGTTGAAGTAGTCACAGTTGTAGTTGCGTGACGGGCCTGGGGAACAACCAGCGCACCTACCACGACGGTCGCCAACTTGATCTGTGAGAACTCCGCAAAGGCAGAGTACGTGAACTCGATTGCAGATTGTGAGTAGTGTTCCTGGGACGTACAGCGCATCGCTTACCCCGCATTTGAGACAAAATCTTGTGTGGGCCAAAATACCACTGCGACACCATTTGCCTTTTCTCATATCGTCGGCAAAGGCTTTCCAGTGGTGAAAGCGGATGCAGCCTTTGCAAGTATACAGTTGTTTAGTCTTGGCCCAAGGAGTTCCTTCGGCGGCCAGAAACTCGGCATGCGTCGGTGTGGGTATGATTGATCTGAAATGGCGAGTTGTGAAAGCCAAGTTGGCTTTGTTGCTTAGGTCGAGAAGACTGATTATTTCCAGATGAAGCTCAACGGGCAGGCGAAGGAGGGGCGGAGAAGACATGGTGTGCACACGCTGTGCGCGTCGGACGGGCTTTCGAAGTCGCTTCGTCTAACACCAGCGCGTCAGTTGGTGTTATGTGAAGATCGGCGTCCAGCTTACGATTGATGCCTTCCAAGTGGTTGCGGATCTCTTCCCCGGCGCCCTTTGCTGCCTGTTGCGTGAAGTATGCAGGACGCGAAGGGTGAACGCAAGTCGCAGTCTCTGCTTTTTGTCGAGAGGACGTGCAATGCACTCCTAGTCCATGAGGATTGCAATAGTGAGCAGGCTGTGAGCACAATTATAATACGCCTCTTGTGTAATGCCAGAGTCACACGGACCTCCAAGCCCGCGCATCCCTAGGTTCCTGAGGCACGACCAATGGTGGAGCCCATTGTCCGCGGCAGTGTTGCCGTGTTCCGCCAGTTGCCTCCCTTGGTATGTTACACGACTTCAGGGTCCGGAAATTGCGATGGGGTGTTCTTTCCCGTTTGTCAGCCACACCGTATACGTAGCACATTATCGCCTCAGCATGGGCCTACTAGAGTTCAGACTAGGTCTCGATGGCTACAATAGATTCCCGGTGCGCCTCCCGACACCACTGCGACTATTCCTTCTTTAAATCGTTGAGAACCATGTAGCGCGACAGGGAGATCCAGCCCCAACGAAACCAGCGCATCTGGCTTTCGTGTGCCGTGGTCATGGCTTTCTGGGCAGTCCTGTAACCGACCGGTGAGCTGACGAACAGGAGTGGAGTCGGAAAGCCTCCGAGCTCTTTCTTGCGGAGAATTGCGCCAATAATTGTAGCTGGTGCGTCCAACAAGCTAAGATATTTACGGAATATGGAGGTAGTGGTGAGGGTGTACAGCTTGACAGGGCACTCCCACCCGCTGTGTCGGTGCATGAGCGCCTTCAAGAAGGTATGCGCACCGTCGTGGAGCGACTTGTGATTGGGATGGCCGGAGACGCCGTGTGCGTCAAAGGTGATTATAGTGTCGACAGTCGCCTGCGGTGCCTCCTTGGAAGAGATTGAGGTCATGTTTGGGGCGAAGGCGGTGGTGAGTAGGTTGGAGATTAGACGAGGGTGCCATGTTACTGTCATGGAATCGGGGAAGTTCCTGGACCATAGTCAGTATGTTGCAGTCGGACGTGCATGGCGATGCGTACTTGTCTTCCACGACGAGAATGTCCTCCTTGCTTCCGATTCCCAGCTGCAGCCCACTCTTGACCAGCTCCTTCTTGCGGATTCCGCCAAGACCGTCGGCATCGCCTGTTGCACGAATGAGATGAGTGATTGCCTCTGAGAGCACTGGGGAGCTGTGAGGGCCATACCGCTACTGAGACACAATATCTTGACGTGATTTCCGCGTTCCGGACGCGTCAATGCCAGTAAAGTCGGCGCAAAGAACATGGCCTCATCGTCAGGATGCGCGATCAGCAGTAGGATGCGTTTGTTTTGTAATGTGGGGAAAGACGCGCCGAGGGTGCTGGTGTACATCCAGAAAACGAAGATGAGGACGGGCACCGATGCCCACACAGTCCAATTCATGGTCAGCAAGCGCATACAAGCAGTATGTTGGATTTGGTGTTTGCTACTGTATTGCTGCTATGTACCTGCGTCAGGAGAGGTAGCGCGTGCGCATGAAGCCATCGAGGTTCTGGAACGAGCTTTGACCCACGTCATCTTCGAGATTCCTTAGAGCCGCACGCGACGTGTCCCAACCCTAACACCACACTCCCCAGATACACATCACCATGTCTACCGGCAACAGGAAAGAGCGACGCGCCAAGGAGTCCAAGACAAGCGCGAACGGCAAAGGAAGCGGCTTCCAGCCCACCAACGAGATCGATGAAGATGGCGTCGAAATGATTCTGAAGCATCCCGACTTCTCCAAGCCAACGGGCAAGACACTTTTCGACTTAGCCGAGGAGAGGCAGCGGGAGCTGGACAAGATAAACGGCAGAACGCGAGTTGTCAAAGTACCCGTAGCGTCCACACCTGCATCGCCCGACGATGTTCCTCCGATCGGCCCCCTCGGGGACTCCATCCTCTACTCCA